TTTTTTTTTTTTTTTTTTTTAAGAATAAATTGGAAGATGTATAGCCAGGAAGGATTTATTCATAAGTAACGAGACGATTTATTTTCCTAGGATTCGCGTAGATCGATCGTGGTTACTTTCTGTAAGTCATCGAATCGGATTAAGGATCTTCTCTCGATGGAATCTTTCGCGATCGAATTGCCAGGATTCGAGGAAGAGATATGTGCTTGAGAAATCAATGAGCCAGACTATAGTACGTTCGACGACACTAGCCGGTCTACGCCTCATCCGATTTTACCGCGCACCGTTACGTGAATATGCTTTCGCGTCTACGTCTAACGGTTGTTATTGTAACCGCGTTGGAGCACCGTGCTCTTTGCTCGTCGCTTATCTATAAAAATTCGTCAATTATTCCAACGTGAAACGTGGAATTCAACTGGATAATTCTGAGCTGTTTTATTACTTTTATGCCAAAAATGAAAACTCCAATTTCGACGACTTCGAGAAATGCGTCACAACCCTCGCGTGCTCTCGATCTCGAGATGTTTGATTGATTGTTCTGAAAAACTTGCAGGAAAATTTCCGCATTCCTGGCGAGATGCCGTCGAAACGTTTGAGTCGGAGCAAATCGGTGGCTGGTATCATAGGCAATTAAAAGCCAAGCGAGGAACACGCGGTGTTCTCAGCGGTGATCTTGTACTTAGTTGACTCCGCAACCTTGAACGGAACCGTGTACACCGGTTATTGTAATAGGTATGCGAAGTTTCTCGCGCGTTCGTTCGTCGAGCGGTCCGATGGACGAAGGCGAGTAGAAAACGAAAAGCATCTGAAAGATGCTGGCCCGGTCCTCTTCCCAGAAAACTAATTCCTGCCAACTAATTTTGGCCAACCTTCTAAGCTAGCCATCCAAGCGGCGAAAAAGAAGAAGAAGAAAAAAAAAAGAAGATGACCGGCAAAAAGAAATGTCGAAAGGAGAGCGAATATCGAAGCCCTCTTGAGTCTTTCAAGTTGAAATTCGTCTAAAAATATTTAACATTTCTCAAATCTCCGGGAAGAAGAAGAAGAAAAAAAAAGAGAACGAAATTCCACGGAATATTCCAATAACTATGAAAGATAGTTGTCTCGTCTGTTACGTCTTATTGGGTAATTATTTCACAGTTAGGGTCAATTTTCACACCGGTTCCGAGCACGGATCAATGCCATTGAGGGGATTTGTGAAGTCAGTGTCAGCTGGCAGCTCTCGCTGTGAGGCTGCCACATTAAAACATCATCATCACGCGAAATTTGATAAACGATTGCAAAACAGCGAGTCGTAAGATCGATGTAATCGATCGACCGGCAAATCCCGCTGCCTTTGAACATTTCGATCGGGCTTCTCACACCTTCGAATTGCCCTCTCCGTTCGTGTGAGAAAACAAGTGATCCGTATAAATGATCCGGGTAAAAAAAAAAAAAAAAAAAAAAAAAAAAAACGAGTGCCGAACGAAAAACAGTAAATTGGATCTCTCTGGTAAAGAGAGTGATAAACGCGGTTTATGTCTTCATTTAGGAAGAACGAAAATCGAGCGGCTCGTTTATTCTTGCTGGATTTGCAAAGATGGCTCGAGGTGAGAAAACGATTCGGTTAGTCAGTTTGAGACTAGTTTAAGAAAACTAGTGGCTGGCGAGTCACTTACGCGAGGGCTACGTTTTTTCCCGAGAAGCTGTTCGATCAATTTGAGAAAGGTGCCCATCATTAGGC